ACACACATACACAAACACACACACACACACACACACCCGCGCGCGCGTGGTGTACCCGCGTGTGTAGATGCGTGACAACATGTACTTTGTACAAAAAGGGCCATCCCTGATCTCCCGGTCCGGCTCTCTCCTCCACGATCTGGGGCGGACCCTTCCAAGTTGGCGCCGGCTGCTCCCTCGGAACCTCCCGCGGAGGCTCCTGAACACGGCAGCAGCGGCGTACGGGTTTCGAGCTTAAGGGTTATAGCGGGCTTGTGGGTTTAGGGGTTTCGGGGCTTAGGTTTTTGTGGCTTCAGGGTTTGGGGTTAATAACTTGATTTAATTTTGTTGAACCTGTATAACTTGCAGCTATGTTTTAGTACCGTATTCGTCATTCACGTAACCGTCTTATTGCTTTATGCAAGTTTTTCTGAACTTTACTATGGTGATGCTGACGCCGCTGCTGATGCTATGCTGATGCTGATGCTGATGGCGATGGCGATGAGGATGAGGAGCAGGATGAGGACGATGAGGATAAGGCTGATGAGGATGAGGATGAGGATGAGGATGAGGATGACGATGACGATGACGATGACGATGACGATGACGATGAGGATGAGGATGAGGATGAGGATGAGGATGAGGATGAGGATGAGGATGAGGATGATGAGGATAACGATGATGAGGGCTCTAGTCTTATACGGTTGTAACGCTTATGGGGTACCACATGTCAGGGCATCTCGCTGGCATCTGAGTCGGCTGCTCTTGTTCTTGCCCTTACTGTTGCGAAACTGCTTTAAACACCGCCAAACTGACTCTCAAGCCCCCAAAACCTTACGAAGGCCTCTGCGGCAGCAGGAGTCTGCCTGAAGATGAGGCAAACAGGGCTTCGGGGCTTGTGTTTGGGGCAACGACATCGCCAATGTCATGTCAATTCCGGGCAGATCCAAAAGCCAAAGCCACCAGCAGCAGCCACACGATTATTGTGCACACGGCACACTGGCAGAGCAGTAACCGGAGTAATAACTTTCAGTATTCAGGTACAGTCCAAGGATGGCAGTGAGTTGATGTGATGGCAATAGAGGTGATAGCAAACATA